AAGAGAATGTTCCCTGTCTTCGTACGATCTCGCAAAATTAATCCAGCCTTCACGTATGCCTAGGCCTCACATATAGGTAGCCATGCAAAAGTTTTGACGCTAAAATTACCAATTCAGGGACCGTAAATGTTAGAAAGCTGAAATTTTGTGAGGTTGTTCAATGTTTATGTGCAACCTTAAGATTTCATATTCATCTCTTACGTGCCTATAGGTCTCGCCGTTAGGCACGTAAGATTTTGGCTGGAAAATTTTGGCTCGAGGACTGGAAAAACTAGAAGCCAAAATTTAAGGAGGGTGTTATACGTCCTTTTGCGACACATGGAATTTCAGATTCAGCTTCCACACGTACCCACGTTTCACGTACAAGCACATTCGCTTTGGCGGGAAATTTCTCCACTCCGGAGTCCGATAAGGCAGAAGCCGAAATTTCAAGAGGATGTTTCCTGTCTGTTTGCAGTTCCGGAGATTTTAGATTCAGCTTCCACTATGCCTGGATCTCACATACCAAAAAATATAAGTTTTGGCTGAACAGAACTTTCCGATGATTTCTGCATATGCTAAGCAGCGAAGTATGAACATTTTTAACAGCAAACGTTCGCTGTATAGATTTGCACAGAACGCATGATCGCATCAGCTACCGTGGCTGCGAGCCGCTATGTATTTCGAAGTGGAAGAGGGTAGCACTCCACATCCATTGCCTTTCGTCTGAGGGGTGGTACTTTTGACTTTGTTTTGAGTTCTCGAATTTTCTCATCGTGTCTTTGTTCCTCTGTCCCTTTCTTCGCTAATTACCCAAATTAATGCTAATTTTGCGCCTCTCAGTAGGATGCTTTTCTTTCGAACCAGATTTTCGTATCTGTATGGGGGCAGTAGTGGTCCTCCTAAATCAGAAGGAGAGTCTCTTTTCTGCATTCTCCAGAATACGCCACTGAGACGTATATATGCCAAGGCTATACAGGCGCTGCATGGCTGTTACTGAGTAGTTTATCTAGGGGAGTAAGTTCACGATGAAGCGTTAAGAGTGCTATAGCCTGACGATGCAGTTTTTTTCCCTCACTCCGTGTCTGTCTCCGTGTTTGTGTGAGTGCGCATGTGTTGTTGTATGTGAGTGTTTTTTTGTTGATACGCTGAGCTGTGGTTTGAACAAGTCTTGTTGTTTGGCTCGTTGAGTTGACAGCACATCATTGGAGCACGAAGTGCGATACTCGATGCAAGCTATCATCATGTGCCATGCAGCGCACTTG